TCAACATGTGTCTTTTGGTGAATGAATTTGGCACGTAGTTTGTTTCCAATTTTAAAGTTTTTTATCGCTGTTCGTGCATCCTAGAAACTTACTGTTTTTTTCTTGACCCTCCCATGATCATAAAACATTGAAACTATAACCTAGTTAAAATTATGGTATAAAATTTTGATCCAAACAACATTACACTGACGAAAAATTTCCACTTGATTATCGATTCACGCTGCCCCCCCCCCCCCGGTAATGGCGGCCGTGAGCGCGCCGCCTACGGCGAAGGGGTATTTCATCTGCTTCTCGGATTCGTCTATAAATCAATAGACGTTATTTCTAATTAGTATAAACGCATAAGTCTGACAAGTCCAATATCATATTAGTGATGGGCTATTATGAGCAAATCTCAAATGAGTCTTCTCCCTAACTAGAGGGAAGAGCCCTGTCTAGTTCATGTCAATGCAATTGTGTATCCAAAAATGTTGTGCTAACACGTTAATCTGTTCATGTTCAAATAGCTTCTAACCTTTTCAGAAGGAATGATATGGATTAAGCACAAATTCATGTGGCTTAATTCCTTCTGGCTCGAGAGCAATGTTCACCTGATTAATGAAATATTGCCAGGACAGTCAAATATGGCAACCCACCCATCCCATCTAATGAAAGGGAACCCCATTTTCACATATACCCTCATGACAGTTCATTGTCAAAGAACCCAAAGAAAGTGGGAATAATTTATTATGACGGAGATTGCAGCATTGATAGGTTTTAACATTTATCTTTCTCTAGTACCAAGACTTCTGAATCTGTCTTTTCAGGGCCTCTATTTCACAAATCCCAAGTCCTTCATCATGCCTTGATCGACAGTGTCAATTATTTCAGACGCATTGTATGAGAGTTGAGAGGAAAGAATGTGAAGCCCTCTTACACCAATTGGAATGGAGTTTCAATGAAGTAGTTGCATGACTGATACATTGTTGGCATCAATCTGTGTATTTTGAATATCTGTTTCAGCAAATATGTTGAGGGTCTTTGTGACAGTTATCTAAATGCAACGACAATTGTTATGTGCCTGAATATCTAATAATAGTAAATTTAAATGTTTAGTCTATTTATCGTAATAGTACTTTGTTTAAAAGGTTTTAAATTTTACAAATAATAACTGTTTAAGCTTATGTTATTTTGTATACAAAAACAGTTTAGTCAAATGGATTGAATCAGTGCTTGTCATTAGTTTTGAATCAATCTATGCTACAAAGCAGCATCAGCAACGCTTTATGTTATTTGTTCAGTAAACGTAAAAAATATTGCATTTACTAGTATTTCACACAGGAACACTTTCGAGTTACCATTTTTGTAGCAAACTGTTCACAAAACAATGCAAGAATAATCTAATGGTTTTGCAGGAGTATGATACGTCCTACCTTTTGATTTATATTTTAGAAATATACAACTTGATAATCATCTAATTAATTCAAATAAGTTTTTTTTAACCATTTTGGTTGCAAAATGTTCACAATTATGTGCACAATACAAAAACAATTGTCAATTAATCCTATTAAAATATTGATTAATACGAAAATGATGATAATGACTGCCTCAGATGGCGTCACCTTAGACAGTTGCAGGATAATGTCACAAAAAGAGCAAATGAAATGCTGATATATTGAATTATGTGTGAGTTGAATATTATTGGTAATACTGATTCGGGTATACAGACAAAAAACATGTCTAATTTATGTATCAAAGACAAAGTACTATTGTAAACAAAGCATGGCGACCGGAAACACCTGCCTATAATGCCTTTCAATTAAAGAAATACAATTAATTATAAATCATAAACTATATTTACAGAAATGTAATTTAAGCTGTAAAATGATTACCAACAGATTTAGCAGATTGCAGTTTACCGATTTGCATACAAAAATAGAATGCCAATACTCGACGTCAATAACAAATTCCGACCATCAGAACCTACAACAAATCTAGAAAAACAAGTGAACAAACACAACACAATACAACACAGTCAATGTAAGGAGATATACATGAAGCCCCTATCCTGGAGACGAACCAAAGAGATTCTGTCGGATGTTTTGAAAAGAGTGAGCACATTCTGCGACACTAGCCAAATAGTATGCCACATACCATGCGATATACATCTCAAAACCGTTTGGTAATTAGTTGGGAATAGAACCAATCAACCATAACAGTTTTTTGGTCTTGCTTACGATCTAAAATCATTATGAAAATGCTTATCTTTTTACAGTAGTTGCTTGTTTAACACTTCAATCCAGTGAAAATAAACCTAGCGCAATGGGTGTTTAAATGTAAAAAAATTAAACGCCATCTCTAACTTCATCTTATCGCTAGTACCAACGAATAGTTTATTAAGCTAGTAATATTGTGCAGTTAACGGAAGTTGTTCAATATAAACACGTAAACCCAAATATGCATTATATGTTTACATTGTTTCTCTTTTGCATTTCTAAATGGAATTCCAGACCATGTTGTAAAGTCTGTAAAAAAATGATCAAAAATATGCCACGAAGGCAGGGCCCATTCTCAATTTGATACCTTACTTGAATATTTTGTATTAGCCGGGATATTAAGTAGTTTTCAATAATTGTCTATAATTCAAACTGACGTCATTATCTAAGACATTTAAAGTGGCTCCCATAGTCCCCCTTAGTTGTTAATTGTATTTACAGCTGGCTATCCATAGAACAGTAATGTTTATTTGTACATCAATTTTATTGGGCCAGAATTTTAGGTGAAACGCCCTAAGATTCTTCTGGTGCATTTTAGGGTTAAGTTTTCGAAGATTTTTAATTCCATCACTTTTGGTTTATTATCGTTTTTCCTGCATGACGTGTACAATGTTATAGGTTTATATGGATTTTGTAGCACTAACATCGTCACTATTGTAGTTATTTCAGATTTGTTTGTGCTAATTATGTACTTATTTATTCAGCACTGTTTTTTTTTTAGTTTTTGATTTTTTATAGTGACATTGTGGTATAGAGACAAAAATCCTGTTTGCAAGACGATAGTGTAAAACAAATGGTGTCAAATATTAAGACGGGTAAGCATATTTATACAACATTTACAAATAACAATATAACGGTAGTCGCTCTCAGAAGGAGGTGGTGGTGTGTTCGCTCAGTTAGTTACAATGTGGGGATCAAACGGGTTTTAGAATATGAGTAGAATATGTCCAATCATTGCATACTTTCCATGTGTGCAAAAATGCCTGGTTTCAGTCAAGTAGACAGATTTTCATCATTAATTAGTACTATTTTAATGTCTATCTTTATCACTCTCACAACTTGTTTTTCCGTTATTAAATATCATCTGATTTTTTAACTGCCTGATGTCTCCTATCGCATGACTCTTAGACACTGTTCTATTTAGTTTACAATAATTAGGTCACCATCAACGAAATTGTGTCAACAGCACTACAAAAATGATTATCTACCGTCTTCTGAATACATTTTACCACTGCATAATTGTCAAACATTTGATAGTGTATACATCTTTATAGTTTTAAGATCCTTCACATCGGTACAGTGCTCGGTACAGTATATGCACTATTTTTTAATAGTTAATTTAATTAATATTTATTAAATACAATATAATTTTGTATATACAGTGCTTTACAAAATATGCATCTGGTGAGTAATTGCAATCTTTCAATAAAGCACAACATCGAAATATGTTCAAGTCGTAGACTGTAAATCTGGTGTTTGATCGACTGAATAAAAACTGTGTATAATGGTACAATCGAAGCGTCATTTTTGGCGATTATTTGAATTTAGAGTATTATGTCGAAAACGACGTGATAATAGTGCTTTAACTATGGTTCAGTATTCATGGAATGACATTCCCAATTGTTCTCTCAGCACTCGTATTTTGGAGTTGATGCAATCCCAGTCAACAAAACCGCAATCCAGGTGTCGCTCTCCTGATACACCAAGTTCAAATTCCCCACGTCCATGTAAGACGCGGAGATTATCAAACGTTACCATGTCACCTGGAAATAATTAAAATAAATAATTGAATTGTATCCTATCAATTGGCAGGGCATAATTACTGGGGTAGTGAAATAGTGACTGCATTATCTATCAACAGCTATTTATAATACCTGATTACATATATCAAAGATTAAAAATATACACGCCTGCTTTATGAAATTAACCATTCGAGAACCCAAGTAAATTGTTGCCACATTTCAACTAATAGTATATTTTTCCTAAACCTGTACATAGCTCATTGCGAATTTGTTCCAAAATAAACAAATACAAATTATAATATATATATATATATATATATATATATATATATATATATATATATATATATATATATATATATATATATATATATATATATATATATATATATAACAAAGCTGTAATCTATATTTTTAAAGGGTTGAAAATGACACGTAGCCTCAAGTTGACTAAGAAAGAGTGTCAAGTGAAATATACCCGCCAACGACCAGTAGAGTGCACACCTCACCTTATCACGGTTTACATTACCTTCTGCCATTCTATAACTAATCTTGTTAGTTGGTCTGTTTAATATGTCATCATATGCTTTCAAGGCTTTGTACAGTTTGTATACTTTATCCTGTGGTACACGTAGTCTCATATCACGTGTTCCGTTGTTATAATGTATCCGTTCCAAATTTCCCTTGTAGTCAAAACTGAAATGTGAAAACTGTCATGAACACACCATTCATATAACGACTGTCATCTAGTGTTGAAACGATTAGGTGATATAAGAGACATTATTTGTTTGGTCAATACTGATGTGATCTACGATTGACCATCAAAGAATAAAATAAACAAATATTTGAACAGAACTGCATACACACATTTACGTAATTTTGATGTCACAGAGACATTTTGCGTTAAAAAATGTTACTTATTGGTTAAGCATTTATATAAAAAAATTATAATGATAAACACTTAGATACGTGGTATGGGGTTCGCAGAGGGCACTTAGTGACAACAAGATCGTTTTATTTGGCAAGGTCTAAAAATCTGATATCATGAAAACCTCTGCATATTTCAAAATAATCTTTAGCAAGGTTTCTAAAATAGTTGTTTTAATGAATATAGTTTTTAACTAACCTGAAAACAGGCCTGCCATATTTGGTGTAAAATTGAAAGGTGTCGTATCCAATATCTATGAAATCTATTGGTGTGTTTGAGAGAACTTCAAAGGCTTCTGGATCTTCATCTCGTAGTTGATAAGCCGCGTTGAAGCCATCTGAGAAATGACTTTCACCGCCTTTTCCGCTGCATTGCTTAACGCAATGCAGCATAAGAGTCTAGAAAAACACAAACGTGATGTATTGATGAACAACTTGGTGGCTGAGCAATGAGTAAATTCAGAAATACTAATCAAAAGCCTTACAAGTGATATATGTAATACGTAAAAATATGTAAAATTGCGATACTTCTTCCAACTCCACTTCTGACGCCAAGCAAACTGATGATTGTCGCAGGCGACCAGGGCGCGTGCAATTTGACTAATCACACACGTTGTCTCATGTATGATTTACGCGCTCATTGTTTACATCGGATGCTGATATTTTTTACCTTTCTGCATGTTTTTACTCAAGCTGAGTTGGTATTTTAGAATGGCCATTGCATAATCTACGTAGCAAGGCTGATATCAGAATTTCGCATAATATTGGTGTTGACCCTACTTCCCATGAACACAGTCGAAACATTGCATGTCGTTTTCTTATTTACTTGTCTATTTCTAGTATACACGGGGCCGGTAAACCGTATATAGTGTTTTATGACAATCTTGTTTTACGCTACCAGTGTGACAAGACGATGAACCGAAACGCCCTCTGGTGTTAGATTTTAGAGATGTGGGCAAAGGCCCCTATGACCATTCCCGACCCCGTCGGGAAGGTGTTCTCAACGGTTGGCTTCAAATATAAAAATACGCTTGTAGGTTTCAGCGATCCTATCAGCATCGGCCGCTCACACGGTATCCGCTCCCCCTCTCCGGAGACAGTAAGCTGAAACATTAGGCCAAAAAACAACAACTTATGTTCCCCTCAAGTCGGAAAATTGGGTCGGTCGGTCGGATTTTTTTTTAAAAACTCGTGAAAACAAAGGGTATCGTAAATAACCGAGATATATGAAAAAAAACGCGACCCGATATTTCATATTTTTCGGTCGGTCGCTGAGGGCAACAAAACAATTTTTTTTTTGGCCTTATTACCTTACCAATTCAAGATGCTCTGTGTTATGTACATACGTTTCTCTAATGTCGCTTTTCAATGTTCGATATATATGACAATTCGAGACGTGATTCCGAGTACAGCTTACCGGGCTATGTATAATTTTATGTATGTATAATGTGTAATTTTGAGCTTACCCCCGGTGTATACTTGAAATGTGGCAAGTCGGTGTGAAGAGGAAGAGCCTTGCCACTATATGCCACGTGGTTGTCATCGTAACGACTCTTTATAGGAAAATCAAAACTGTTAAAAAAACGGATTAGTATTTATGAGTATGTAGGTGGCACACTTCGTTGAATATATTGGACAGGCTAGCGCCTGAACGGTTCTTCTTGACGAAGGTTGTGGGCGTGGTAATGTGACACTTATACAATGATGGAAGACATATGTTGAGAAACTGTCTGGTTCAGGCATTGAAAGTTATTAACCACTAGGAAAACACCAAACGAGAAAAAGGGTTAATGTTCAAGGGTGGGGGTTATAGTCATATGTGGCTTGTGTGGTAGATCACTTTCTGCTCGGGATTTCTGTTACTCCCAACTCTCGAGCTCACAAAAGGAGTATGGTGCATAACGTCAGTTATTTGCCAATTATCTTATCTACTATAGTAAATTGCTGTGACCAGTCGTCACCGGGTCACAGTTCATTTGTAACACATAAGGTCGACGTGCTGCGATAAGGGTTCAAAGTGCAATACAAACAATGGAACATTACCCAAAGGTTGTTTGGCGTAGATATCCAATGCGATCACCCAGTAGCTTCACTTGACCTATGCACAAGGGCATTTTGTTTGTCACTACCAGACCAGTATCTCGCAATGTTTCAAGCCATTCTAATAAAATCGCGTCATTTTTTAGTAGATCTTCGAACGCAAATGTCGGTATATTGCCCTGGAGTTCTGAGCCCCACACGTGCCGTGACGTCTTCTCCTTCGCACCATCGACAAATGACGACTTGTGCAGCTGTACCATCCAGTCCGTTGAAAAGGTGCTCTGGTGGCCATCGGACCAGTCAACGGTTACTCCCTTGCGGTCAGTCGACATTGATATAGTCGATGGTTGGACGTCAATATCCAGTTCAGCCATTGTGAGGAGGCGTTGCTTGCCCTGTGCGTGATAGCACGACGGACAGAGACAGTTGTCGCGAAGCCATACGTAGGGATATGAAAATTCCGAGCCGTCATTCCATTGCACTCGCAGTTGTCTGTCCGGTTCGCTTTTCTCTACACTGTCAATCATTGGCCCGGGTTGCAGATCGGCAGCCATTACCTGCGCTTGTTTTATATGTACAGCTGTAATAAATTATAGTCAGTTTAGTGCTGAAGTGCGTCGCTGGCGGTAGCACAACGATTCTCTCCGGACGCTGGCGGCGCTCTCGCTGACTTTCCCTGATTAAAACAACACATCGTCCAACAGAACATGAAATAAAATTTAACGGACGGGAACATTGCTACAGTCAATCAAAGATGCGCTGAACAGTAAGTCCACTCTGGGCTAGTACCATTGTAACATTTTGGAGGGTCGATGAGCTTTTATACGGAGTTGTTCCAATAAAAATATTTAAATATTTTTTTTGATTTGAGACGCCCGGGAGCCAAAATTCGGAATGCGACGACGAAAAATCGTTGATAAAAGTCAAGAGGGTAATATTTTATAATAATCATGTATAATTTGTGCGAGGCGAGTTACATTCTTAACAATACATTTTGTTGTAGTGTGTCCTTCATAAAACGCAAAAAAAAAATGGTGCACATAATTAATATTTCTATCATTTAATATAATATCTCAAACAATGGAACAAAACGATTAAATGACATCACCAAGCCATTCGCCTGTACGTATGCTATTTTTCATATTCAGCTAGTGGTGGCGCTCGATCATCGAGTATAGGGCTCATACCACTAATTGAATTTCCATAGACGACAATGTTAACATATGACGAGATTGCTATATGAAAATGACGAAGAAAGTTGAAAATATGGCTCAAAAATGGGAAATCGAACATGCCAGTAATCAACCATATGAAAAAAACTAACATGTTGGCCAGCTCAAACTCTTGCAAATCTCAGGTAAACAAGACACACCTACTGTATTTGGATTGCACCAAGAGAAATCACTGGAAAAACACCAAGATTAGAACATCCATTAACACACAGAATAAACCCACAGGTACACAGCCGCTAAGTAGTAAACAAAAGACCACATGTTGGTCTCTCCTCTGACCCAGGTGATTACGCCCTCAAACAGGGAGCACCTGAGAAAAATAATATTTAAAAAATTTCATTGGTTCTTGCTGGGCATTTAAATTGGGCTACGAGCAACCATTGGTTAATTAGTGGCATGAGACCTATAACACTTCCAGTCAAATTCTAATAAACTGGGAATGAGGCACCATGTTATTCAAAAAACAAATATTGATTGATATGATCGGTAAAAATTTTAGCAACAATGTTACAGTTTCGAGGAGTGTTAGGTCT